GACCTGGTTACAACACCACCCCCCTCACCCATGAAGTAACAAAATCAACACGAATGTGATAAGCAGTTTCATTATGTGAACACACGCTGCTTTTACAATTTTACACACTGATCAAATCCAACAATCTACACCTGGCTTTGTTGTCTTTACCAGTTGGCTAACTGGACAAGGTAAAAATGACCCCATACTGAGGAATGATGATTAAGTTATTAAATATATAAGCTGAGGAGATTTTGTAAATTCTGGTTTAATGTCACGACTTTGATAAAGCTGTTAGCAGCAGCATTAAATAGCGAAACGTCAGTAAAAACAACAAAATCGTTTTGTTTTTCATTCATTCATTGAGTGGGAAATACAAAACAGCCTTTATTATAGTTAACTGTTACGGATTTGATTGATTGACTGCATGTTTTCGTGTGACTACCGCTAGCTGCTTTTCGCGAACTTGATCCTAGGTCAGCTGACATTGCTCGTTGAGGGAGATGATAGTAAGGTATATATGTAACATGTTCTGTAGCCATCTCAATTGATGTTACCTCACAACCTCATCTATTGATTTCCCTTCTGAACCACCAAACCCTCGACACCTAACTTCAGTGTTACTCACCTAAAACGGGACATAGAATGGAGACATTTATGATTAAAAATAGATATTTATTTCGCGCCTTCAACTTCCACTGGCCGTTTCTCACTCATAGCCAGCCATAAAGGAGGATGGGGGGAACTGGTGAGCAGTGCACACGTCCTTTGATTGATAGACAGCTAGCTGGACATCACGTCTACGCCAGATAGGATATAGGTTGGTAAATGCCACACGAGCATTTTGTATCCGTGCTGGGATTTCGTCAGTGATCGACCCGCCGGCGCTGGCCGTATATGACAGCTTCCCTAATAAATAAAGCAGTCAACATGCTCTACTGCTACTTCACTCAGTATCTTTAATAATAATAATAATAATAATAATAATAATAATAATAATTCAGAATTAAGTCGCATGCCAAATATTCGAAGATTGCAGCCCAAGGTGTTCAGAAGACTCTGCATTTTGTCAGCGTTTTCACTTAGGAGGGAGGACTATATTGTCTGTATATTCTAAGTCGACAAGACTATACTCTCGTAACAAGCCAATCCTTAAATCGCTGAATTCATTTAGGATTAGTTCCAGAAATTGGGACAGTGAGCATCTCTGACGGATACCATTGGTTGTCATGACTTCAGATGACAACTCTCCGTAAGGCGTTACTCGGCTGTGTGGATTCGATTAGGGTGTCTTGATTAGTGAGATGTACTTTGCCTGCACTCCTTTCATCACCAAACATTTCCATAGTACCCCTCGGTTGACAGAGTGGGATTCTGCCTTCAGGTCAAGAATTTCAACAGTTGCTGCTCTTTCACAGTGGCACCCATGATCCCATCAGTGTAGAATTGGACTTTTGACCTTAAGACTATATAATAGGATGGCAACCAATGACCTATTTATTCTGACTTTTGCTAACTGGCGATATAAAATGCAACTGCCAGCTAGCTGATGTCATGGGTTTTTTTCCCGATAGGATCATGCTTGCGTACTGAGGAACGATCATCTCAAAGTCAGATGAAACAGCCACCCAGTATAGTTGGATAGTTCAGTTGTTCTCCAACTGGCGTCAATCTTTGATGTAATTTGATATGAATTAAATATTCGCAAATCAATTCTTGTAAGCTCATATATCTAATAAAGTGATAAAAGTGGGTTTTTTCATTACATTTCTGGGGATGTGTTGTTGATCATGCGTTGGTGTGATAAGAAGCGGCGAAAATTCAAATTTAAGTCAATGGTTTTATTCCTCAAATTTCGATCTAGTTTACGATATGGACACGAAATAACCTCATTGGACAACTTTTCGTCTGATTGTTTAACCTTGAGACGATCACCACCAACCAATCAGAACAATTTATTTTCTACTGGTCTAACCGACTTATGATGTGGTTAAAAATGTCTGTTACTTTCTATCACTCTCATTTACCAGGCCGTTAGACACATTTCATATATGAGGACTGGTGGTTCTCCCCAGTCGCACAGGCTGGAGTAAGTTTGGAGCAGGATTCGAACCTGGGACCCATTGTCTCTGGATGTACAGCACCTAAGCCAATAATATTTCTGACAGCTAATTAGCAGTTCTTCTCTTCGAATCCCTGAGTAACTGATATTTGAGACCAATCGATGCTCAGGTGAAATAAGTCGAAATGTTTGATTTTTTTTGGGGGGGGGGGAGTGTATATATCAATTTGGTTATCGTTTGTTTGATCAGTGGTCAATTTAGTTCACAAGTGCTGAGTAGACATTTATCTCTGGAAGTTCGTCAACCTTGATATCCATATGTGTTTATCTGTTGACGACGATGGTATGTCCTCGTTAATAGAAGTTGCGCTTTTAATAAAGCCTCAAGGAGTTTGGTTTATGAAATTTTATAGAGACTCTCAGCTACAGGGTCAGGTGTATATGTTCAGAAGAAGTAACTCAAGATGGACTTAGGATTGTATTTTTTTTCCTTCACGTTCCCCAGTGGAACATAGGGTTTGAAGCTTGTGGCTTGAAGTTTCAGTAGCAGTTTTCATTTTACAGGATGTGGTTGCTAGCCTCATGCCCAATCTTTCCTCTTCACCAGCATTATTTCTGGCTTAGCGAGGTAAAAGAGTACGTCTGTGGCCGGGGATCGAACCCCGGACTATGTGTATCGTTGGCGAGTGTCCTAACCGCTATACCACCGATTGTATATGACACCTAAATTGAAAATAGCTATCCAGAAAAGTACATCATGAAATACATAACCAAGAAAGTAGAAAAGAATTGTTCTCTATCTATTAATGCGAAACGTTTATGTATACGACTGCAATTCAGAGGTGATTTACCGAGTGAAATAATTACTAACAAGTTAAGAATATCGATTCAAAGAACTTTTGATGCTGGTTAATTACAAGTCATATTTTCTACACAACCAGTTATGACTCCCCAATTGAAAGATGAAGTATCTAGACTAGCCAGCCCCTTTCTAATTGTATGTACCAATTCAACTGAGCTTGTGGTAGATTGAGTTATATTGGTCGTTGCTCTAGCAAGTTGATTTTTCGTGCTTGTCTAGGAACACCTACTAGTCTGGATAGATCAAGGTGTAGTGTAATCATAAACAGTTCCATGTAAGATCAACTGGTCCCAACCGACCTAAAAGCCAGCCAGCATTGAAGAATCTTTCTTTATTATCTATCTGCTACCAAATAGAGTTTGGAGGCTACTGCGATTCGCTTAAAAAGCCGATGCTCTGTGCGCAAAAGAAACAAGTTCAGTCACTATTTCTACCCTGGTCAGTTATTATTATTATTCCCTTGGGTTCCGAATGGAACATAGGGCTTAAACAACACATCTCCACTTTGTTCTATTCTCTGCCGTCCTCTTCAGCTGACTGGCTTCACGATTAACTATAATCCCTCATCTCATCCTCCCTACACGATCTCCTCCACGTCATTCTCGTACCGACGACCCACTCATCGCTTCCCCATTGGGATTACACTTGAGAAATGGCCTGCATTGAATGCAATGTCATTTGACGGCATCCTAAACGTGTGCCTGATCTATATCCATTCTCGCCCACATATTTGTTGAGCAATCAGTTCTCGCCTGTTGGTTTGTTCCCAGCCAGAGTCTCTAGTGACTAATTCTTTCTGGCCGGCCTCCTGGCCATTTGATCTTCAGTATGGAGCCAGCGAAGGCAGCTTTTGGTAAAAGTCTGCAGCAAGCTGTTGGAAATCCTTTTTTTGACACACGCGCAGTGCAAGTTTCCAACCCTTGTAGAAGAGGTGACTGACTGTCTGACTTGACATTTGCGGTGAAAATCCCAACCTTGTTCTTTATTCTGCCTGAGCGCAGCGCAGAATGTTTCCAAACTGGTTTCATGTTGGTGTAGTTGAAACGATGTTTTCCAGCTGGATAAGTGAAGGAAGTTACCTCTGCCAAGCCTCTTTCGGTTGATAGTGAATGATGCTGGTTGTTTTTGTTGTTGATTGGTTGGTTGTCTTCATCAGCTTCGTCTTCTCTGTGTTCACCTGCAGTTCTGTCTTCCCCGCCTGCATCTTCAGCCAGTTTGTTGCTTTCCTCTTGTGTGTCTTCTAGTTTGTGTGATATTAAACATAAATCATCCACGCGCGAAATCCAGATCTTCTGGAGTTTTATTATAGGGTCAATATATTCGTGTCTTCTCACTCCTGACTCACAATCTGACGCATAATCGAGTGCACCACAATTAGGAATGTCATCCGTCATAATAGGTAGCCATTCTCGTCTTACTCCTGTATTCACTTCGAATGCCCAGGTGGCCTGCGCATTTTCAACGGGTTGTAGACTCTTATCAACTACCACCTTCGCTGGCACAGTGGTAGAATGCTCGCCGACCACGCAAATGGTTCGGAGTTCGATCCCTGGCCGACGCACTCCTTCAACTCTCTAAGTCAGTAATAAAAAGCTGGTAAAGATGAAAGGTTGAACATGAGGGTAACAACCCTATCTTGTAAAAATAAACACTGCTACAGAAACTCCAAGCCTCTAACTTCAAGCCCTATGTTCCACTGGGAACGTGAAGGAATGAAAAAAACCTTCGCTGTCACTCCATTTTGAAGATCAAGTGGTCAGTGGCAACAATTAGGAACAAGTAGATCTGGTAGGCAGCAAACCAACTAAGAACCTCTTGTTCATTAGTTAATCTGAAGTAAATGAAGATGAACAGGCCATATACTGAAGAGCCTGTCGAATGACGTCGCTCTTTAGCCCATTGGTCGAGTGCGACCCGAATCGGAAATGACGAGTGTGGCGTCCGAGGGTGACATGTGGAGGAGATCGTATGAATTGGAGGAGATAGAAGCCTATAAACAACACTGGGGACAAGTGATGGGGACTGCAGAGTTTATCAAAGCTAACTATACAAATAGAACAATATGTTTTGTTTTCAAATACACATTATATTTGAAAACTGGATTAAAACGACAGATAAATTATTAATTATTTTATGATAAATTATTTCGTCTACTGATAAGTAGTTGAAAATTAATGCTTCAAATTGTGTTATGCCTTTACAATGATATAATGTCGACAGATGTCAATTTTTTTATCGCTTACTAAAATGAATTGAGTGTATGTATGTATGTATATATAAACGGACTGAAGATCATGGATCAATTACTATCGACATCTTCAGATGCTAAACGTTTTGCTTTTGGTCGTTTGAACTTTTCAATGACTAAATCGTTGGTTGCGGCTTCAGCTTTCACTACTTCTTGTTCTTTACGTGGATGACACAAGATAAAGGGTATTTCTAATTGAACATCACGTCCACCGAAACCAGTCACCACTTTGATTCTTATCTAGACATCATTAGAATGTAGAAATAAGGGAATATTAGGTTTAAAAAAATCCATGAGAAACAATCTTTGAAGGTTAATAATGAAGTTTGTTGGTATTAGATGGTTGGAGGCAATCGGCCACAGGAAGCCTTGCTCGACTTAGGTTTCGTGCTAGTTGGTACTCACCAGCTAGGAGAAGGAGTATCTGCAACCTTTAGGGAAATTATGTCCCTTCTGAGATTCGAAACCGTGTCACTAACTGAGTGCTGCAGTCAGAGACGTTACCATTGAGCCAGCTATTTGGGCTCACGATTGACTTCCTGTAGGACTGCATTGGATATTTTTGATTAGACGCTAGTCAGTAACTATTGTAATGTGTCTAGTCCTATCTTTGGTGTTGGAATCTCAGAAGGGACATGAGTTTCTTCAAGGTGGTTGCATGTACGCCTTGCTGACTGGTGAGTGTCAACTAGCACGAAACCTAGGTGGAGCAAGGCTTCCTATGGTCGACTGCCTCCAACCATCTAATATCAACAGTTAAAAGTGCACTATGATGGTGGTGAGCCACCTAGTGGCATGGTTGCCACATTGCAAACTTGACTGACTGATAGAATTCAGTCTGCAGCAAAGATAGGATTAGACACATTACACTAGTTACTGACTAGTGTTCAATCAAAAATAATGATGAACTTTATAATCATGGCATTTCGTGAGGTAAAATGCTTATTGTTGATAACAGTTATATTTAGTGTTATTTCGTAAATAGAAACTAACAGTGGAATCCAGGACGCCTATTTCATCCTACTTGGGATTTGTCATTTCGATTTACCCACAATCTCCAGTGAATGGTGATGTTCCGGATGAAACCCTGACACCATCCTAAACATTTCGGTCCAGTAAACCGACAGGACATCGAAGCCTTGTCATTCAGTGCGTAATATTTGAAATAAACTCATCTAATATTGAATCACATTCTACTACAGTGCCCATGTTCTACTCTTACATTAATGATTGAATTATCAACAGCTTAAAGCTTCTTAAAGTATTCAGATTATTCAATACGTCATTATGTATGATTACTAATTGAGCGTCGGTGGCATAGCGGATGGGACGCTCCCCGACCATGCACATGGTCCGGGGTTCGATCCCCGGCCGACGCACTCCTGTACCTCGCTAAGCCAGAAATAATGCTGGTGAAGAGAGAATGTTGGGCATGAGGCTAGCAAACCCATCCTGTTAAATAAACACTGCTACAGAAACTTGAAGCCCAATGTTCCACTGGGGAACGTGAAGGAAAAAAAATTCGGCGAGAATGAAGGCTCTTCAACAACTATGTTATTTTGTGTATGGTGACTAACACTGGAATCCATGATGCACATTTTTGGTCCTATTTGGAGCTCGTCAACTGGATATACCTGTATCTTCAATGTATGATGTGTGTAGTCGCCGTGAAATACGAACTCATGTACCAATGGGTCATATAATTCACTTTTCTGCGATGAGTGTCAGTTACGAATAGCAACGAGTGTGTAAATATATATTCATATGAAAGATTAACTGTTAGATTATTCACTGTCTAAAGCTTCCTTAGTTTATTCCAGTCGCTTAGCAACACATGAAAAAGGTTTGTTTGAACTTGTAAGCTTCGTCGAATTTCTGTACTACAACTTGGGAAGCAAGTATACAAATGTATCTGCTAATTGTTAGACGCACTTTCAACAATGATGTCATTTAGTTTGTGATGCCTAGCGGTGGAATTCAGGACACACGTTTCTTCCTAACTGGGACTCGTCATCTGTATGTGGGCTGAATAATCCTAGATGATTGTTCAGCTCAGATGAAGACGCTATCTGAGTTCTTATAATGTCAATTCCACTCCAATCTGCAGGTCTGTATTTACCCTTCTACCAATAATCCTGTCAAGCCATTAACTCAGGCTTGTAACGCTCAGATGAAATACACAAGAAGCTACGAGAAGCTTCCAGGTAACCAAATCAAACACGTCAACTCATAACAAGCTAACAATAACATGGAGAGACTTATTTCAAGTTTCAGAACACAACATTCAGCAGAAAGCCGCATTTCAAGCGATATATTGTCAAGCTGTACTATTGTATATAGTTATGATTTTGAGAAAACATATCTCGCAGTGAAATGAAAACAGTAGATTTGAACAACACTAAGACTTCTGCTACTACTAATACTAGTATGATGGTCTTGGCACTGATAATCGAAGTCAAGTGGCAAAGTTTTGTTTACTGGACCACTGGACTATAAGATATACATTCTGTACAAAGAGGGCAACAGCTTTTATTTGTTCAAATTAATTTTCATCTTCCATCGATTGATTATATTCGATGGGAATGCTCGGTCTCTTTTTGACATGTGAACACCATCACTGGGGATGCAGGTTCATCCATCTGATGCATAAAGAACTGGAAATCACTTGAACATACCCTGATGACACTGTTGGTTGACGTCATGCATCAGGTCCTTAAGTGGACCTCGAATGGGAACAACCGACGCGTTCAGGGAGTTTTACTAAGGGGTGATAGTCTATAGGCAATCATGGAGCCCACTAAAGTGGACTGCAGGAAACAGGATTAAATGAATATAACCTTTTGGAACCCTATATTCCACTTAGAACCTTAGGGGCAACCTCTTCTTCTCTTCTCAAATACCTCTCGGGCTGTTGGCATACCACTGCGTGGAGTGAGCAATTATTATTATTGTTTCATTTGGGCTTCAGCCACAAGTCTCCACTGCGTTCGGTTCTCTGACAACGTTTTCACCTGCCTCCACGTCTGACCACATGCTTTCATCATCCGGTCTTCACATGACTTCCTCCTCCATGTCACTGTCGCACTGATGACCAACTAACTTGACGCTTCCCATTCGGGTTCTACTGGAGTGATGGTCTGGCGTGTGATGGATATTTATTGATAGTTTGTTTTCTTAGATTCTGGTCAATCCGCCTAACTCCATTTCTTCCTGCATATTTGTTGCTAATTGGTTGGTTGGTTCACTGATTGCCAGAGATCCCTGTTGCTGATCTTTTCTGGACGGTCATCTGATTTTGAGCGAAGTATTGGCCGAAGACAGCTATTGATGAAGGTCTGTAGTTTGTTTGGTCCTTCGCCACGTGCCAAGTCTCTGTACCTCAACGCAAGTTTGTATTTTTTTGTTATTTCCCTTCGCGTATAAACGAGCTTAGCTGGGTAGTCCGCTACGCCAGTCTATTTAAGATGAAAAAGGCTAGATAAGCAGTTAGTGTACTGGTAATTTGACTTGTTCAAAGAAACATTTGGGTTAATCCTCTATAATTAAAGTACAATTTAAACCTGGTGAATATATGAGTGTTGTAGGTCTTTAGTTGTAATGCATAAACCATAATCAAAGGTTTCATTCTACTTTCACTCATTGTCCAATGACAAGTCAATTAGTCAGTCAGTCAATCTATCCACTTAAAACGACTCGAAAATTTTTCACTACAATCATTGTTTCCCCAGAAGGTCCTGGGTTCGGACCCTAGCGGTGGGTGCGTACTGCTGAAGAGTCCCGAACTAGGCCGGCGAAACAGCTGTCCACTACTCCCTATAGGTTTCCCAGTGGTTCTCTAACCAATGTCAGTTCATGATGAATGCCTGTAACCAATCCATCCAATTCCGTACAAACCAATACTTGATAATAAAAAAATAATAAAATAAAATAAAACCAAATTCCTTCTAACATACCATATACTGAACAACAATTCCCATACTCTCTTTTTTCCTGTAATCTTTAATCAGTGTTGAACTAGCAAGATTTGTATCATGATGTTTCAGTTTACCGTCCAGTGCTAGACCAGCTTGTTGTCGAGTATCTTGTAGCGATGGTCTTAAATGATACGACTGAGTCCAACCAGCAGTTTGTGATTCAATTGGAAATCCTTTCTCTACTTCCATATCAATGACAGTGCAACGTGTTGTACGTTGTTTGAACAAGGTGATTTCAACAGTCTGTATCACCTAAAAACATAAATATATGAATGTATTTGAAAATATAAACAGGTGTATATTATGTGTTTGAGAAGCCTTCATTGATATAGCAGTAATAATAATAATAATAATTTGAAATAAAGTATAATTACATATTTCAGTAGTTTACACACAATGTTAAGTTTTGTTATTGGTAATATTTCGAGCAAAATTACTGCCCGTGTTCACATCACTGTTGGAATTGTTTTATTCACACATTTATGATTTGTACTCATATATATAGTTCATTATTTTTGCTCATTCATGTTTTTGTATTCAGAATTATATTCCAAGTTGTTGATAGTTGTACTGAGTCACCCTTGTTACATGTATCCGGTGTGGCTTTAATGAATATCGATTCCGTTATAAGTCTTTCTTTCCATTTGTTCATGTTATTTTTAAGAATACACACATTGTTCCAATCGATATTGTGGTTTTTGTCCCATGCATGTGCAGCTATCGATGAATTTTTTTCAAGATTCTTGTAAGTTTGTGTTCCTGTTGGTTGACCTTTAGTTAGGCAGGCGTTTGTGTTCATTCACTCTTATTTCAAGTGATCTGGACGTTTGTCGCACATATTTAGTCGGACAGTCAGCACAAGATATCTGTTTGTAAATCAAATTGTTTTTATCCATCATTTTTATGGGATCTTTCAGTTGATTTATTTTATTTTTGATTAGATTTGTCGGTCTAAAAGTTGTGTGAATGCCGATAGTTTTGAGGTTTCTTTGAATTGCCTCTGGTGTACCATTTTTATATGGTATTGTGACTGTTTTCTTGCATTCTTTCATCTTGTTATTCTCCGGTTTCACCCTCTTTTTTTTCTTTTTTATATTATCTTTTATAAATTCTTTTGGGTAGTTGTTTTCGAGTAGTGGTGTGAACACGGGCAGTAATTTTGCTCGAAATATTACCAATAACAAAACTTATCATTGTGTGTAAACTATTGTAATATGTAATTATACTTTATATGATCTAATCCACAATGCTCAAACTTTTTACTAATATTAATTATAATTTGCTTTATTCCAAAACAGTACTTGTCAATTAGTACGGAATTCTCAACATTTCGTACCATATTCCATCGAATTTACTCAATAATAACAACAGCAAAAGCAGAAATTAAATCATGCGGTATACGTAACCGGAATTGTGATAACAGTAACATTTTGGTATTACCAGTGACAATAAAGTCAAAAATGTACAAAAAGTGTGATGAAAATGTTAATAGCTTAAATTATAAGTTCAATGAAATAATGTCTTTAGGAGTTCGACCACGGATTGATATCAGTTAGAGGGCAATTGAAAACCAGCCAGGGAGTACTGGACAGCCAGCTGTTTCTTCCTAGTTTGGGAATCATCGCCAGTACGTACAAACTGCCAGGGTTTGAATCCATAACCTTCTGGTTACAAGGAAGCAAGCTCGTATACCATTCAGCCACTGGGACCTGATTCAATTTTGATGTGGTTGTATTCTCTGAGCTGGATAGTTAATTTACCAAGCTTTCATCGCCCTACTAGGTGACATCTTCAGCGCATACTTCAATTTGAAGTGAGCTTTTAGATTTCTCCACGAGTTTATTGATCATCTCTCCCAGTGACCTTGAACGTGATTGGTTGTTTTTGTGTGTGTTTTCACACCTTCTAGCTTACTTGTATTGGAACTGATTGCTTTTTTGACTTGAACTTTGACCCTTTGTGTGTGAGGTTTGTTTCTTATCGGTTGATAAATCTTGTCAATCTCGATGTGTCTATTGATTGATGATTCACTGAAATGTCAGACACTTGCCTTACTGACCCCCTTTTATAACCTTCACCAATGATATTCCTAATTGTGGTGGACTGGATTATGCGTCCGACAGTGGGAAACGAGAAGACAGGGATATCCTGGACCGATGTGAAGAGCCTAGAAGACCTGGATTTCGCGCGTGGATGATTGATGTTTGATGTCACACAAAATCGAAGACTTACAAGCGAAAACCGAAAAACTGGTCGAAGAGGCTGGCAGCAAAGACAGGACTCCAGGTGAACATAGACAAGACGGAGGTTATGAAAATAACCGACCACCATCACCAACAACAACAGCAGCAACACCCAGCGCCAATCACTATCAACGGGAGGGATTTGAAAGAGGTTACTTTATTCACTCAGCTAATGAGCATTGTCTCAACTACAGGAGGAACGGACGAGGATATCAAATCGAGGATCGGGAAGGCGAGAAACACATTCATCAACCTGAAACCAATCTGGAAATCTTCGTCACTTACTCAGCATCAACAACAAAATTCGGATTTTCAATACAAACGTCAAGTCAGTTCTTCTTCTATACGGATCAGAAACTTGACCAGTGTGTCACAAAGAATATTTCCAACAGGTTGCAGACCATTATCAATAACTGTCTTCGTCGCTCAATGCTGAAGATCAGATGGCCGGAAACAACAAGAACCAACAAGAAACTATGGGAACAAACAAAACAAGAACCAATCGCCCAACAAATATGCAGGAGAAAGTGGAGATGCATTGGACACTCGCTGAGCTGAGGAGGCCGTTGGGTGACATCACGCGTCAGGCCCTCGAGTTGAATCCGAAAGGGAAGCGGTGAGTGGGACGTCCAAGCGTGACATGAAGGAGATCGTGTGAAGAGGAGTTCAAACAGTATGGACTAACATGGATGCAAGTGAAAAGTACAGCAGAAGAGAGAAAGAAACAAGTGTAGACGTGTAGTTGAAGCCCTTTGTTCCACCGGGAACCCAAAGGAAAAATAACAATAATAATAAATATTATATGTTTGAGAAGCCTCTATTGATATAGCAGTAATATTATTGATAATAATGATAATAATAATTTCCTTTATTCCAAAACAGTACTTGTCAATTAGTACGGAATTCTCAACATTTTGTACAATATTCCATCGAATTTACTAAATAATAACAACAGGCAAAAACTAAAATAAAATCATGGGGTATACGTAACCGGAATTGTGATAACAGTAACATTTTGGTATTACCAGTGACAATAAAGTCAAAAATGTACAAAAAGTGTGATGAAAATGTTAATAGCTTAAATTATAAGTTCAATGAAATAATGTCTTTAGGAGTTCGACCACGGATTGATATCAGTTAGAGGGCAATTGAAAACCAGCCAGGGAGTACTGGACAGCCAGCTGTTTCTTCCTAGTTTGGGAATCATCGCCAGTACGTACAAACTGCCAGGGTTTGAATCCATAACCTTCTGGTTACAAGGAAGCAAGCTCGTATACCATTCAGCCACTGGGACCTGATTCAATTTTGATGTGGTTGTATTCTCTGAGCTGGATAGTTAATTTACCAAGCTTTCATCGCCCTACTAGGTGACATCTTCAGCGCATACTTCAATTTGAAGTGAGCTTTTAGATTTCTCCACGAGTTTATTGATCATCTCTCCCAGTGACCTTGAACGTGATTGGTTGTTTTTGTGTGTGTTTTCACACCTTCTAGCTTACTTGTATTGGAACTGATTGCTTTTTTGACTTGAACTTTGACCCTTTGTGTGTGAGGTTTGTTTCTTATCGGTTGATAAATCTTGTCAATCTCGATGTGTCTATTGATTGATGATTCACTGAAATGTCAGACACTTGCCTTACTGACCCCCTTTTATAACCTTCACCAATGATATTCCTAATTGTGGTGGACTGGATTATGCGTCCGACAGTGGGAAACGAGAAGACAGGGATATCCTGGACCGATGTGAAGAGCCTAGAAGACCTGGATTTCGCGCGTGGATGATTGATGTTTGATGTCACACAAAATCGAAGACTTACAAGCGAAAACCGAAAAACTGGTCGAAGAGGCTGGCAGCAAAGACAGGACTCCAGGTGAACATAGACAAGACGGAGGTTATGAAAATAACCGACCACCATCACCAACAACAACAGCAGCAACACCCAGCGCCAATCACTATCAACGGGAGGGATTTGAAAGAGGTTACTTTATTCACTCAGCTAATGAGCATTGTCTCAACTACAGGAGGAACGGACGAGGATATCAAATCGAGGATCGGGAAGGCGAGAAACACATTCATCAACCTGAAACCAATCTGGAAATCTTCGTCACTTACTCAGCATCAACAACAAAATTCGGATTTTCAATACAAACGTCAAGTCAGTTCTTCTTCTATACGGATCAGAAACTTGACCAGTGTGTCACAAAGAATATTTCCAACAGGTTGCAGACCATTATCAATAACTGTCTTCGTCGCTCAATGCTGAAGATCAGATGGCCGGAAACAACAAGAACCAACAAGAAACTATGGGAACAAACAAAACAAGAACCAATCGCCCAACAAATATGCAGGAGAAAGTGGAGATGCATTGGACACTCGCTGAGCTGAGGAGGCCGTTGGGTGACATCACGCGTCAGGCCCTCGAGTTGAATCCGAAAGGGAAGCGGTGAGTGGGACGTCCAAGCGTGACATGAAGGAGATCGTGTGAAGAGGAGTTCAAACAGTATGGACTAACATGGATGCAAGTGAAAAGTACAGCAGAAGAGAGAAAGAAACAAGTGTAGACGTGTAGTTGAAGCCCTTTGTTCCACCGGGAACCCAAAGGAAAAATAACAATAATAATAAATATTATATGTTTGAGAAGCCTCTATTGATATAGCAGTAATATTATTGATAATAATGATAATAATAATTTCCTTTATTCCAAAACAGTACTTGTCAATTAGTACGGAATTCTCAACATTTTGTACAATATTCCATCGAATTTACTAAATAATAACAACAGGCAAAAACTAAAATAAAATCATGGGGTATACGTAACCGGAATTGTGATAACAGTAACCTTTTGGTATTACCAGTGACAATAAAGTCAAAAATGTACAAAACGTGTAACAGGGTAATGATAATGTTAATAGATTAAATTATAAGTTCATTGAAATAATGCCTTTACGATTTCGACCACGGATTGATATCAGTTAGAGGGCAATTGAAAACCAGCCAGGGAGTACTGG